GTTTGTGGTTGTAATGTGACAAAATATGGAAAAGTTCAAGGGGTATGAATACTTTTGCAAACCACTGTACATGTATGGGCGTCTTCTATGGTACATGCAGAATGCCGAACCTGAAGAAAAAAGGGGAGCTGAACTCAGGTCCGTCCTCCCCTTTTATACGGACCGAGGTGAGGCCCACGTCACGTGGGCGTGGACTATTGGTCTTCAGAATGCGCGTACGCGCACGGGGGTACCCATCTGCGATAGCCTTAGAGGGCGGAGCTTACACGAAATAGAACTCTCTGAGCTTAACTTTTAATAGTATTTCTGTATTTATCTCACGTTTGGTCAGTGGTACATGTTGTACTTTTCATGGTTCATAAGAAGATAGGTTAAAACGCTGTTTCTCTGCAGGAAATACCACGAAGAGCTCAGTTATTTGTGTTCAGTGAGAGGGGTTGAGGAACATGATGTTTCATGTTTAGTCAAAGTTAAAAACAAWGTTATTTACAAATGGCCCTGTGAGGGCCACCAAAAAGATCATGTGGCCCCCGAGAGAAAATGAGTTTGACACTCCTGCTGTAGAGGCTTCATGAGGAACCAGACAAGCTACCATACAGTTAATATATTAGGGTTAGAGGTTGGTTACTTTAAAAAACAGGTGTGCAGAGGCCTGGACCCCTTCATGGTGGGAGTCAGACTCGGTGCTGTGATCTCCAGCCTGATGTGGTTCACAGCTGGGATCAGGATCAGAACCTCCAGATCTGAGGTCGTGGTTCTCAGTCTGGAAGGGATGGACTATCCTTTTTGGGTCTGGGGTGAGGTTCTGACTCAGGTGGAGGAGTTTAAATATCTCTGGGGGAAAGATGGAGCCTCACAGAACCAGACCCCTTAGCTGCTTTGAGAAATTTAGTGATATTATTTAGATTTAAATCCATTTATTTATTTTATCCACACTGAAGCAAAGGCCGAGACTCAGAAGACACAAAGTAGAAACTACAGGCCCCGCCCCCTCAGCAGCAGGGGCAGCTGGGAACTCACCGTCCACGTTGTAGACCTTGAGGCCGGCCAGGTGCTTGGCAGCACGGTTCTTGGAGGCAGAAAGCAGCGCCGGGTTGTGGATGGGGAAGTCGCTGTAGTAGTGCTCCACGACGGCCAGAGCTGCCCTCTGAATACTGAGGAAGAGGAAAAAAATAAAGGTGAAGGCCGACGGGAACGTTTCAGCTTTAAAATCTGAGAAAAGAACAGGACGAAAGATGTTTTCTTTTCCACCTGGAGGAAGCAGACACCTGAAAATCCCTGAATAATACAGAGAAACATACATTTCTTTTGGCTTCCTTTCAAAGGATTTCAGTGAATAAATATAAAGATTCTGGTCTTTCTGCAYGACAACACAATGAGGAGGGGGAGCTAAAGACCTGAAAGCAATACTTAAATTAATTCCTCGGTGGGAAAAACCCCTCAGAGTCATAAAAAACAGGAAGACCCTCAAAAAAAAAACCAACATTTCTCACAGAACCAGGAGAAAATACAGGAAAACAGATGAGTGAAAATCTGTGGAACAGTTATCTGTGGAACAGCTTCAGTTTGGCTGAGAGCGGCTGAACTTCCTGTCTGCTTCAGGTTTTATTAATCCAGTCAGAAGAACTTTAACGACGGGAGAAGGTTCTGAGTGGATCCGGATCCTTCACACCCAGGATCGAGACGTGTCGGGTCTTGTCTTTCAGTAATAAAACAAACTGTACACAAGCAGTTTTCACACGTCAGAGGTCATAAATCACCTGAAACCTCCAGCTTCTGTTCCTGAACCAAAGGTCTCACCGCAGAAACATTTAGAGCGTTTAAATGTTTCAATATAGAACAAATTAAAACTCATTTTCCAAGTCTGCAGCTTTTCTCACTGATGTACTAACAATTTTTTAGACACATCATTTAATAAATGATCAAATATATATGTTAAATGCCAAATTTTGCATCAGTTTTGCTGATTTCGTTCATTTACATTTTTTTACATTTAAAAAAACAATTGTATTCAAATTAGGTATATTTAAAATTATAGCACAGAATAACTTCAATAACCATTTTATTATTAATCAGACTGACAGATTTCTGCTTTAAATTACTATTTTATTCAAATGGATCATATTTAAAGAATTTCAGCTGATGTAATACAGTTTATATTTATCACAGTTTAGTTCCAAACACAAACAAGTCTTATGAGGTCCTGTGTTCCAGCATTTTTSAAATGTGCTGCAGATATCAATGACAGAGTACATTTAAGAACTAAAGCTGCAGAAAGACTATCACTCATTCAGAGGAGTCTGCATGTTTATTCATTGTTGTGTTGTGGCCTAATTATTTCTCMATCACCTTGACACTGTCCACTGTTCATATCTTGTGATATCCTCTGGACGTCATCATCAAGTTGACCTACTTTAACGTATCAGGATGAGGCAGGTTATGATTGGTTGGTCATTATCACATGATGTTAGCTGACAGTATATCATTGCTTGGCAGCCAATGACGGGCGGGCCACATCCAACAGACTTCCTGATTGTTTTCTGTTTCATGTCTGCCCATTAATAAATGACTTTACGAACATACCCGCAAGACTGTTTGTCTATTTAACATCCTTTCGCCGTGTTTCTGTCCATCTTCCCGCGACAGTTGTTTGTGCAATCTTTTAGCATTTATACGACAAATTATTACAGAAGTATGATTCGGGTTTTTGAAGTTCTGCATTTTGTTTGTTTTGAGAGAAACAGATCAGTGGGACTGTTTCAGGGTTTTATCCACGTGGAAATCTAACTTTAATAAATGCAAAGTAGGTCTTATCATGTGCTTCTTGTCACAGCAACATTCCTGTCCCACAGCTCCTTTTCTCTGACCTCTTTTTCTGTTTATTTTGTTTCTGTACAAACCACAAACCAATGAAAGCATCCAGGCAGCGTTCAAACCACATTTATTTTTCCTGCTTTATCATCTGATCACATCTCCGACAGTCACATCAGAGAAAATCACTGAAAGTTGTTTAAAACTGAATGTGGATCACTGTTCAAATAATAACTCATGCACGTCTATTAATTTGCTCAGTTAATGTAWGTCAGCAGTCACAAACAAAAGCTTAAAAAATAAACTAACTCTTATTTGGGGATTTAAAAGCTGAGACACAAATGCTGAATACAAAAAAAATRTCAAATTTGACAGCTCACATCATTTTAGCAGCACAGCATCATTAATTTGGCAAAACTAAGAATTTTTTTTTTTTTTATCAACAGTGTTCATATCTGCTAAAAGTGCAGCAGGAATGTAACATTGTTCTGCTGGTTAACAGAAGGAATTCAGAGCAAAGATCAATATTTAAACAGACTTTTTTATAAAAGTGAGGCGAGCCTCGTCTTTTTCTGATCTCAATCAAGCTGAGCAAACAATAGAAACAAAAGGAGAAAATATAAACCAAATCTAGATCTAATATAACCCAATAAAACAAGAGAAAAAAAAAGCCCTAAAACTTCCTGGATGTGCAGCATGTTCCTAAATGTGAAACACACTCTTAAATTTAAAATTAATAAATTATCATTAAATTTAGATAAAACTAACTATATGACATTCGGTAGCAGAAAGGGAATTATTGATGTTCCATTTAGAGGTSATGGTGTTGAGATCTGTAGAGTCAGTGAGGCGAAGTTTCTGGGTGTTGTCATTGATGAAACGCTGACATGGAGACCTCACATAAATTATCTAAGAACAAAAATTGCTAAATCTATTGGAGTARTGRATAAAGTAAGGGAGTTATTTAATGATAGAGCTCTGTATATGTTGTAWAATGTAATGGTTGTTCCACACCTGATTTATTGCACTGAAGTCTGGGGAAAAGCATGTAAAACAATTATAAACCCTATTTTTATTTTACAGAAAAGAGCTGTAAGAATTATTGCTACAAAACACTACAGTCACCCATCAAATATATTATTTTATCAGTTGAAATTATTAAAGTTCTATGAGTTGGTTGATTATAATATTTTATAGGTTATGTACAAGGCTCACAAATGTATATTACCTTTAAACAACCAATTACATTTTGTTAAAAGAGAAAGTTGTTATAATCTGAAAGGGTAGAGATGTTTGTGAAACCTGGATTTTGAACTAGTTTGAGGGACCGGTGTACTTTGACAAGGAATAAGACTATGGAACAATCTGGAGAGCGATGTCAAAAATGCCAGAACAATATTTACGTTTAAGAGAAAGATAAAAGTCACTTTGTTAAAGAAATATGAAACAATATGTGTATTCATATGAAATGTTGTTCAACAAGGATTTGAGGTTGTTTTTGTTTAGTTTTTGTTTGTGGATTATTATTGTTTAAAATTTTATTTTTGAGAAAAAAAGCGCAGATACTAAATGACTTTTCTCTTTTTTCTGCCGCCTTTCATTTTATTTATGATTTGTATTTTTATTGTACATAAATTTTGTTATTTTTAAAGAAATGAATAAAGTTTGAAAAAAAGTGCAACATGTTCCTAAATGTTCAATAAGAGAAATACACAGCTGCAATTTTTCTCACCAGACAAYAGAGACTGTTAGAATTGAGGAAAGATTGTAGGTACAGAGATTGAACTGTTGTAAAACCTGTTTGTTCACAGAAAACATTACTTAGCATTCTGTAAGCATTCCACGGTTCTCAGTCTGTGGTACAAGAATTACTGGTGATACTCAGGATAKCTCTATGGTACTCTGATGATGACTAGGCACAAGCTAAATCAATCATCATAAGCTGAAATATGATGTAAAGCTAAAAAGTAGATGTAAAAATAAAAGTTGAGAGATTCATACGACTCATGATTCTGGCTCCAAATGTGAATTACTCTAAACAAATAGAAACTGGAGTGGGTGATGGGTGATCAATGAGATAATGGAAACTTAAGCAGCATCAGAGAAGTCTCGATAAGATCAGCTGGTGATCAATGGTGCAAAACTGTAGGTCTCAAGATTTGAGCAATATTAAAATTTGTTTATGGAGAAAAGAATGAGTGAAGACTGCAGCGAATGTGATGTTCTGTGATGAGATGAAGGCAGAGAAACTGGGACACCCCAAGCCAAACAGATGAAATACGAGACAGAAGATTTTATGTCGATTTAAAAAGACAAGAAGTCAACCTGCTGGAAAACTACATGTTACCAATAAAGGTTAAAGATTTTTCAAAAAAAGAGAAAGGTACAGTGGCTGGTTGGGAGAGAAATGGTGCCAGGAGAGACAAAGGAGAGGGAGGGGAAGACTTCAGAGAGGAAACGCCYCAGAAAGAAGGAAGAGAGGAAAGACCCCAGAGACTGAAGCAGGGGGGAAATGTAAGAGAGAATAGAGAATGATTGTTTAATAGTTAATAAGAGGGTCGTGTTTAAGAAAAGTTTCATTGTCAGACTGGAGAAATCAGGTTTGCAGATCTTATCAGGAAAAACAAAAACATTAAATCCCATTTTTAGTCCAACAAATTTAGCTCTCCAGCTACTCCCTGGTATCCTCTCACAGCCTCCAGTCTCAGTCTAATAAAACCTGAAGGATTTATAGACAAAGCCTCTTTTATGACAGGATGAAGACCTCCTCCTGCCGAACCTGAGCCCCCCGGTTTTACAGGTGTGCTGTCATATTACCCATGATCCTGTCAAACCATTTAAAAGCACTCAAACTGTGGAAATAAAGATGTGCATTRGGTTTAATGTGGTTTCACAGATCCTAAAACACACTTTGGGTGGGATCAGTGGTCCTGAGTCCTGGTCCTGGAGGGCCAGCAACCAGCATGTCTAAAGGTTTCCRTGCTTTGACCCACCTGATCTGAATGAACGATTGTTAAGTCACTCTTTCATTCAGATCAGGTGGGTCAAACAGGTCTTAAAGTCCTCCACAGGGAAACATCTAAAACCTGCAGGATGGRGATGATCCTCCAGGATCAGGACTGAGGACCACTGGTTTGTCTGGTGGAGGCATGGTGGTGCATGATTGGAGGTGTTGCCTCAGGTTCTGGTCTTTCTGATGGTTTCCTCCAAGTACTCTGGTTTCTCGGACCAAAAACACACATGTTGGGTTCAATGGTAGCTCTAAACTATCCTTAAGTGAGAGAGCAATGATCGTCTCTATGTGTCCCTGTGATGGACTGGAGACCTGTCCAGGATTCCCCCGTCTCTCACAGCGACTGTTAGACACCAACTCCCTGTGTCCCGAAAAGGAAAAGCCCTTTAAGAAACTGGATGATTTGGTTTTAGACTATTAGTAGTACTAGTACTAATTATAGTGTAGCCATCTATATATTAGAGACAATTTTGTGTTGGCAAAGGTCAGTTTACTGTGGTTCTGTTTGACTCCAAAGGCTAATTGATTGAGGATGTACACTTTGTGATTCCTGAGATATTTTGCTAACAAACAGACACAGACGTGAGAAAAATCTTTTTTTTTTCAACCCGAACATCTGATCCTGAGGAAACAAACCCCTCTGAGCCAATCACAGATGAAATAAATCAACACGTTTCGTCTCACCTGAGCTGGCCCAGGTTGTAGTGCCTGGTGACTCCGTCCGTGGAGCGTGTGACGCACACGGAGAAGCATGGCTGGAGCTGCCGGAGCTCCAGCAGGACCACGGCCAGGTAGTGGATGAAGAGCAGCACGTCCACCAGCGACACGGCGTACTGGACCACGCCCTGGTAGTTCTCGTCCTGCGTGAACAAAGACGGACGTTAAACCAGCGTGTCCCGCGTGTGCGCTTTGCTGTCTGAAGTCCGGATGCAGAGAGYCGAGGAGTTGAACGGAACGTGAGTCAGAGAGGCTCCTAGAAACACTACGAGCAAAGAGGAGTGATGCTGAAGCTGCTGTCAGAGCCAAGCACACCTGCAGAAGGATAACGTTAAAGTAAAAGGAGGAGCGGCTTTAAAAGGGATCCCTGATTAGTTGTAACATCAGACTTTATTTGATAAACACATATCTGTAAAAATACTGTAGGCTGTTTAGTTTTGTAAATTTTAAAAAATATATTTTAACACAGACGGAACCATTTTATTTACACGCAAAGCATTCTGGGTAAATGATGACATGGATAGGTCCTCGGTGCAAGGCTGCTAAAAAACTATATCCACCCTGAAGGTTAATCTTGGAC